AAAAATTTTCTATCATATTGGATGAAAAGGCCCATCTTAGAGGATTCTGTGTGTGTGTGTGTATAAGTAAGTGTAGGTGTTAGTGGATTGTGGCTTTTTCCAAAGCTATATACTTTTTTTTTTTTTTTATTGCTTCAACTTCTTTATTATCCACTTAGGAGAGGGCCATACCAGTTTCTTAAATGATCAGTCAGGGCTTGAGCTTTGGTTAGTGTAGCAATCTTCTGGATAATTCATAAATATTTCAATTCTCCCCTTTCCAGACACATGGAAGGATTATATTTCTCCACTCCCTCTGAGTTAGGCATGTCCACGTGATTTGATTTGGCAAATGAAATGTGAGAGGAAGTGATGAGACCCTTTCTGTCATTTCCTCTGCTTTGGTCACCAAGGAAGCACATGTTGAAATGGAATCTACATCAGCCAACTCTGCCAGCTGGTGTGGGACATGTATTGTGAATGAGAAATAAATTGTGTTAACGAATGAGATTTGGGGTTGATTATTATTAGAGCAGAAGCTAGCCTATCCTTACTAACCTAGGCAGCATAGGGCCAGGTGTCTACTTGTGGGCGGAGATGGATTCAGAAGCAACCTGTTGATACAACTGAACAGCTTAAAGGTTCGATGCTCACAAAAAATGATTTTTCAAAGACAAGAACATGCCACAAACACAACAAAACAAAAAATAAAACCCTTCAGAAGCTATGTCCTGAGAGCTCTTCTATGTGTCCTCTCTCTAGCCACTGCCCAGTTTGGGAGGTTGATCCATAGACTTTCTCTTTTACAATCTCTGATTCAGATAACTATCATTGTCAAAATGGGATTGTGGACTAATGACCTCTTTTATTTATCACTTCTTACATTTCCCTCCCTTGTCAACTCCCTCTCTGCCTCTCTACTTCTTTCCTTTCTGAAAAAAACATAATGATTGAGTGCCTACTGTGTGCTATGCACTGTACAAATTTCTAGAAGTACAAAGCCAATGAACCATGATTTGGCCCCAGAGGAGCTTCTTTCTAGTTAATGATAGAGTCTGACCTCTCTAAACAAATAATACTAATATAAAGTGATAAATGTTATACTAGAAATATTTACAAAATAACATGGAGACTCAGAAATAACATAGAGTGACCATCATCTTATGTGGCTAAGCCTTGAACTTTATACAGACTTCTGGCCAAAATCAATCTAAACAACAGATAAACATCTTAGTAAGGAGATCTGCAGTTGGAAGCAATCTTTCAAAACTTTGCTAAATCTTTAAGTTTGAGAAGGTCTTGAGTAGGCAGAGACCATTATTTTGAAACAAACAAACAAAAGAATTATTAAATACATAGAGTATTTGAGGAATGTGTGAGAAATGCCTGAACAATTCTGCTAGAACAGGATGTAGATCTTTCCAACATATAAGACTTTCTCACTGTTGAAACAATTAATCATATCTGAAAATGTCAGTAGGTAGAAATAATCAAATAACAAAGAAAAGACATAAACATTGCCAAGTCATTTGAGCTATAGCCAGAAATTGACAAAGCTAGAAAATATTTTTGTAGAAGACTGTATATTTAAAAACCATAAACTGTGACTGATTAAAGGAATTTATTACTTTAAACTTAATTGAGTTTCATCAGTCAAAGATAGAATTGCAATAAGTGTGAAGAAGTCTGGAATATGCTTTTTTTGTTTTTATTCAGCAAAGCATACATTTTTTAATAACAAAATCAACAACAACAACAACAACACATCAGCAAACATGTCACAAAACCAACTAAACATAGCTAAGTTTCCTTGCTGTTAACATATTTTGACTTTTAATTTTGGCATGCATAGG